CCTGATTTGAGAAGAACACAGAAGGTTCCCCTTCCTTAAGGCTAATAGGGTGAATGCAAGGTGAGGTGCCTTTGCCTGCAACAGTATCATGGAACTCTTGTGGGAACACAAGTCTTTCCATATCCTGCAGTGAATCCACATTCTTCCCAACCACTCATGCATAAGTGGCTCTAGTCCACTGTGCATTAGTCTCCAAGTCAATAGGGGATGCCATGAACCCCACACTCTGACAAGATAAAGACCAGGACCAAAAGAGAGATCCAGGTGAGCCAGACAACTCACAAAGATCCCAAGTAAACTCCTGCTGCTTAGGGCTCCCACCCCCAAGCACTCAACAGACCAGTGACTTCAGATATCAGCACACTTCAATGGAACAGTAATAAAGCAGCAGACTTTAATGGAACAGTAACTTACAGAGGTTAAGCCCCCTAGCCCGGGTAGGCAGAAAAGTCTCTCCAAGAGAAAGAAAAGGTTGAGAAGGCCTCTCCCACCCAGCCCCAAGAGGGTCTTCCTCAGGAAGCAGTCACCAAGCTCCATCCTCCTCGCAAAAACCCTAGTAGAGCAAATCCAGCCGCCAACATCTTTTTAATATGTATGTATATATATATATATAGAAGATGGTGGAGGTTGGACCTAGCTTTGCTCTGCTAGGGTTTTGGTAGTAATGGATCTTCTTGGAGGCGCTGTGGAGCTGGGTGGAGGAGCTAGTTTCTTCTTCAAGGAGTTTTGTTGGTTTAGAAGGCTGTTTGGGTTTTGTACTAGAAGCTTTCTTTTGAACTTTTGTTAGTGTTCCATTGTTTGCTGAAGTAGCTTGCTGTTTTGCTTCACTAGCTTGGTGGACTTTTTCTGATATTATACTTTGAAAAGAGTTAAGTAATCTTGGGTCTTTTAGTTGCCTATTCACGGGCTTTAAAATATCCTTAGGAAAATGAAAACTATTTTAATCACATGATCAAAATTCTGAAATCTGCTTAGGCCCAAAAAGAAAGAGATTAAAGAAAAGGCTATGTTATTAGCAATTAATGGAAATTTTATCCTGAATTCATATCTCTTAATATCAAGAAAATTCAACTCCAACCTCAAATCAAAGAACATCAGAGCAATTTCTCAAGGAAATGAAAGTAATCTCTACAAAATTAGTGATAAAGAAGTGAGGACTGCCATGAAAAAGCTACAAAGTTGCAGCCTTTCAATCTGTGTTGTCCTTAGAAATAACACATTTTTATTAGTACTTGAAAGAATATAGTTTTGATAGTATCTTACAGAATGGGTTACTTCTTCACACGTGCTCTTGGTCAAAGGACGGTATCTCAAGAAGTGTTGTGCATCGTATGTCTCAAAAACAAGATCTCATTTTTTTGAAGCACCGACGTCGCACATGTCTAAAACTGGGTCTAAATCCTTAAATAATAAAAATAAAAAAATAAAAACAATACCAAAAACCTCAACAAAAGTGATCCGGTGTAAGGAAAAGAGTCTAAGAGTAAAGAAACCTATTTTTTATGCACAATTTATGCTCAATTTTTTGAAGATATTATGCTTTAATGAAAGGGTTTTTGGTGGCCGGTGTAAGGAAAAGAGTCTAAGAGTAAAGATGAGCAAAAAAACATAAAAAAGGAGCAAAATGGGCTAAAATAAAGAAAATTACCAAATCGGCTAAACTAGCACCTAAGCGTCATATGTAAAAATTTGTTGGCGCTTAGGCGTGACGGTTTGGCTCCTAGGCACCATAATTATTTTCTTGAAGATTCATTGAATGAAGCCAAATTTTGAAAAGATGTCTGAAGCAACCTTTGGTCATTTTTGAAGTTTTAACATAGATGCAAATATGCATGCGTACATGTATGCATGCGTGTACATAAATAGATGCATGTGCATGCATACGTGGATGCATGGATGCATGCAAGCCTGCATGCATGATGCTTGCATATATGTGTGTCTCTATAAATATATATATATATATATAGACACATGTTTGCATACATATATGCATATATAAAGACACAGAGATACATGTCTATATGTGTGCGTGTATATATATATATATATATATATATATAATGACAAAAATGAGAGCACATTTTTTTTGTACAAAAATGAGAGCACAATTTTTTTGTTTAAGGCATCTGTTTGTCATAAGCAATACAGAATGATAAGAAATAAAACTAGAGTTGTTATTTGGTTTTTAAAAACAATCTTCTTCCTGAAATTATTGGGTGAAAGCAAAGTAATTACACTACAATAAAAATTGTTTTTCAATGTTTTTGTCTTCTTCCAACAAAAATTGATCCAAAAGTTTCTTATATTGTTTTTGCATAAGTATCTTAGTATTTATATTTTCAATGAGTAGAAAGAAACACCATATAAGAGGCCTAATAGGTTTAGGCTCCTTTGATGTTATAAGTTAGGAAAAAATAAAATCAATTCTCATATTAATGAACAAGTAATAACAGTAACACATCCACACTTTGCCATCACCTGAAAATCAAAACTACCAATAAAAAATTTTAAATGAACGTTAGATTATCAAATATGTTATTTCTACATCCACTTTTATAACTTTCCAAGAAGGGGTCTACATATGGATATTGATAATGCTCAACATATGTAAAATCATTTTAGATTTTTGTCAAAGAATTTCTTACATTATGTGTCATAACACAGAAGCGGACTGACAACCTAAAGGGTCAGACAGCTAGAAGACAGAATTTAAACAAGTTGAACATGTGAACAGAGATTGACTATATAATCTAAAAATCATCGAGAAGGACTTAAATTATACCATTCAATTCCTATGTTTTTATATAATTAACTCCCATTTTCAATTTTTGAATATATGTTGCTTCACATTTGCATGTAAAGGTGTATTTCAATAGTTAAAAGTTAAACTAATTTATTTTTTATGTGATATGAATGATTTGGGTGCTATAAATTTACAAAGCAAAATTTTGGTGTTAGATACATAAATACATAAGAATTGCCAGGTATGTATGTAAATGCTTTAATCGTTAATAACTAGTTTATACGAGTTCTATTAATCATAAAAAAATCAACACCATTTTATTAATAAGTTTATAAATCACAAAATGAAATATAGAATCATTGCATTTAATAAGGGAAAAAATAAAATACAACAAGATCAAAACTAAAATCGGCATTGCTGACCAACTTAAGAAAAAAAGTTTAAATTCTATTGAGAAATAATAATAAAAAAAAATAGCAGAATTGCGTATCACAACTTTTGCACTCGTAAATGAAGAGTGATTTGATTATCTCTTTGAAATTGATTATTCATTATCTTAGGAGAATTAAATTTAGAAAAAAATTTTGAATAGTAAAAGAAGCATGAAGACAAGATTTCTGCCTAAGCTCACACCCTCACTCTCACTCACATGCTCCCCCTCCATCACATAAAACAAAATACTAATTTATTTTGCAACAAAACCTTTAAAAAAAGGTATAAGAAGTATATTAAATTCTAGTCAAATTGGTGGAGAAGAAGAACTTACCAGTGACCTGACAAATAATATTATTTTGAGAACTACTTAATTTTTCACAAAACAAAAATCAAAAGAAAATAATAATAGAAGCATAATTCATTCTTAATTCATGCAATGAAGATACAAATATAAAAAAAAGATGGTTATTGACCCAAACTTCTCAGTCTAGGGTTAAACATGAAACGATTGTAAAAGTTACACCATTCGTGTCACTAGAGAGTTCCACAATAAATGAAGCGACAAACCAATGTCATAGTAAGCCTCATATAAGCATCACCATGCTGCAACATGCACAAGTGAATAAGCAGACTAGTAAGTCCAAGGGTTACTGCAGATTTTATCATGTCTTTCAATAGTTTTAATGTGTTGCCCATCAATTCATTAAAAAATGGCATGATGAGATGGTAACTTGAAGGGAATAAAAATTTATTAAGCTTTTAGGAATTCATAAGCATTAACTACATGTGTACAAATGTATAAAAACTATGAAATTTGGTTCATACAAAGGGCAAAGTTCAACTACTTGCTAAAAAAACTATGAATTTCATGGAGCAAAAATGAAGATTAGTTACCAAGCATCACAGGTCTTAGAACAAAGAGTCTTTGGCCAACAAACGAAAAACCATAAAAATCTCAAACCGAGTAAACCCTAGGGAGAATGAAGGCCCCGAGAAACCACGGGGGAGAACCTTCGCCCACCAGAAAAAAAAAAAAAAAATCTTAAAAATCACAAAATGAGAGAGAAAGGAACTTGATAGCCAAACGAAGAATGAGAAATCAAGAGATTCAAGTCATCCATGATGAATTTGAAGATCTAAAGGGCATTCAGTTCATCGGTGACGAATGGGAAGACCTAAAATTTGCATTTGAACCCTAGAGTGAAGACGTTGCGAGCAAAGAAAAGGAGAAGGGACCACTTTCAATATATTAAGTAGTTCTGTTCTCTGTTTTCAGCTTCTTAGCTTGCGGCATTATTGCCATTTAGGCACAAAACACTTACCACTTTGACACTTGTTCCTTTTATTGATGCCTTCAATAAGCTCCAATCCGATGCTACATTTGTTTTTATTTTGTAAGGTCAAAGAGTACATAAAATATTAATTATTTTTTATCAAATTATATGCAGGTAAAGACAAAGTTCTATTTATATTATTAAAGTCATTTGCTGTTTGTCAACTATTAATTTATACAAAAAAATTAAAAATCATTTACAGTTCAAATAATCCAATTTAATTTCTTAAAAATTTACTTGTAAAATCCTCCTAAAATTAATACTTTCCTATTCCTATCTATCTAAACACGATTTACAATTTTCAGGTCCAAGATTAAAGATTTGTGGATCGAATTTTTAATTAAAAAATATAAAAAAGAAGTATAAATTTATTCAATAAATAATAAAAATAAAAAAAAATCACTAATTTTAATATTAGAGAAAATGTTGAAATAGTATTCAGCGGATTTTCCGTATGCTTTAGGAAAATTAAAAAAAAAATGGTCTTGTGAAAATTATCAGATGCTAGAGAAAGAAGGGAGATCGAAATCGGATTGCGGGGTTTTTGTGGATTTTAAGATCGGTTATTGCGTACGGACTCCGCATGCAAATTTGTTTGTGGTGTTCAATCATGACCACTGAAATACAACTTTTTATTTTTTTTATTGTTAGAGCGTGGCCCATTCTAGTTTTTTCACGGTCCTGATTTGACAAAATTTACGTGAGGTATTCATACACAATAATTTTTTGGATTTTAAAGAGCTAAAAACACAACAAATTCAAATCACGCAAAGTCCCACACTACAGAGACACAATAACTTCAATTGGCATCCAATGATACAATGATATTTTGTTGATGTTCTAAGTCGTTGATAAACGAAAAATATTTAAGTACGTCATACGCACGCAGAATTGTATACGTATGAAAGTTATTTGGAAGGTATTGCAGGGTTGTCGCTGTTATTAGGGTTAATACCCTCAATAACCTCAAAAAAATCTCGAACGACAGGGAAAAAGATGATCACCTAATCGCGGAATGTATTGATAGATTATTTAGAGGTTATTGGTGTTAACCCTCAATAACTGAGTTATTGGAAGCAACTGAGCTATTGGAACCTTATTCAGAGTCATACGCACGTATTCATAAGCACACAGTGGGTTAATATCGCTCATGATAAGCCGATACAACTAGACGCCTAATTCGTTCAATTGATTGACTTACATAGAGATCATGCAGCTCCTTGTCGCCAAACAAATCCACACACTCCTTTGCTCTTTTCCTCAACGCATTCCCTTCGTCTTCAACCATGGCAAACCTCAAGCTCTTCGCAATCCCATCCCTCGTGAATGATCCATCATCCTCCTTCCTCGGCACCTCCACAGCTAATCCCTTCTCCACCATATGCCTCGCATTCAGCCCCTGGTCGAACATCATCGGCAGCACCACCATCGCTAACCCAAACCCTAACCCCTCTACAATCGAGCTCCAGCCGCCGTGCGTCAGGAATCCCCCGACCGAAGCGTGAGACAATATCCGAATCTGAGGAACCCAGTCCAAGCAAACCAGCCCCCGTCCAAGGTGTTTTATTCTCTCCACGAGCCCAACAGGCACCGACTCTGTCCTCAACGCCCAGACAAATGGCAGCTCGCTTTCTTCAAGTCCGATGGCAATCTCCTTCACCTGCGCAGCACTAAGCTTCACTTCGCTTACGAAGGAAACATACGCAACAGAACCTTTGTCCTGCTTGTCCAGCCATTCAAATGCCTCGTGCCATCCTTGTCCTGTTGAGGGAGGGAGAAGCCCCACAGGAACTACTGGCTTCTCATAAATCTGGTCGAGAAGTTGTAGCCATTCAGACTCCAAGTCCTTGCAGCTGCTGATCAGAACGAGTTGGCATCCCTGTATCGATTTCCCAAATCGGTAGGATTCGGATACACCTGAAGCATCTGGAATTACTGATGGATCGAACAATTTCCGAGCCTCAAAAGCAGAGTAAGCGATGGTGGATGGGAAGGTAATCCAGGAAGGGAGCACGGTGAATTCCTCAGCGGTACTACGGGCACCGGCTCCGCCCAGTAATGACGACGGAGGTCCAAAAAAAGATAAGGCTGCAGCGTTATGGAGAGCAAAGAATATACACGGCACTCCAAACTTTGCTGCAATTGGCGGAACCCAGTAGGCGGCGGCGGCGTAATCGAAGACAATGCAATCAGGGGATGAGATTTGCTTGTTTTGTATGAGATCTGAGAGCTTTTGGCCCAAGCTGTCAAAAGCTTTTCTGAGATATGGGCGGAGATGATCGGAAGGGAGATCTATGGTGGCCTCGGCGTTCTGCGGCAGGGGGGGGGGGTGGTCGATTTGAGGGAGAGGGAGTTGTAAGAAATTGATGAGGTGGGAGATTGGTGGGGAGATTTTTGGGAGCCTTGCTACGTTTCTTGGGGTGGTGAGGAACGTGATGCGGTGTCCTTTTAGGGCGAAGGATTTGGAGAGCTCGAGAAAGGGAAGAAGATGGCCGAAGGCTAGCCATGGCAGCATTAAGATGTGGAGACTCCCATCTTCCATTGCGAAAGGGAGGAGATAAGAGAGGTATGATGGAAGGGAAAGCATTTTGTCGGATATAAATTGATTTGCAGCGCTTATTGGCTGAAGGGAGAGCAATAATAAAAATAATAAAAAGAAAAAGGAAGATAGAAGGCGACCAATGGGCTTCTCGTATCCGCTTAAAATGTAATAAAAACTTATTTTAATAAATAAAAAAAGATCAATGTTATTTATAGATCATTTTTTTATGGTTTAGGAGGCCATGTAATAATATGTATTGATGTGCTATCATGTAACGTGTTTCTCGATCAAATTTTTAAAATAAATATTTATATTTAATTTCAAAATTATCTTTAGCATTCATTTCAGCAAGCTTATACTTAAGCTAACTCTCTCGACAATACAACTATGGTGATACTAAAATTGGTTCAATTTGACTCCAATCAAGTCATTAAAGAATTTGAGGATGTTTTGGATCATCAATTTAATGATCAACAGAATTTTAAATTTGACATATTTATAATCAATCGAAAGTCTCATCTAGAGGAATTCAATAGTTCTAACCTCATATTTTTATTTTTATTTTATTTTCGACGTGCTTTGATTAATCGAATCAGATCTATTTTTTCACCTGTAATTAAAATGAGATGTATTTTGAAAAATTGATATAGGGTTTATTTGAAGGCTTTAAACTCACCCCACTTAAAATTTTATTTGAACCTCACTAGTTTTATTTAAATTCTATGTTCTAATTGGACCTACACTCAAATTAAAATATTCGATAAGATCAAAAAAAAAAAAAATATTTACATAAGAGTATAAACTACTTATAGTATTTTTTGCTTTCTTCAAGACCGATGGCGATCTCCTTCACTTGCGCAGCACTTAGCTTCACCTCGCTTCCAAAGGAAACATACACAACAGAACCTTTGTCCTGCCTGTCCAGCCATTGAAATGCCTCGTGCCATCTTTGTTCTGTTGAGGGTAGAAGAAGCCCACAGGAACTGCTGGTTTCTCATAAATCTGGCCAAGAAGTTGTAGCCATTCAGACTCCAATTCCTTGCAGTTGCGGATCAGCACGAGTTGGCATCCCTCTATCGATTTCCCAAATCGGTAGGTTTCAGATACACCTGAAGCATCTGGAATTACTAATGGATCAAACAATTCGGGAGCCTCAAAAACAGAGTAAGCGATGGTGGAAGGGAAGGTAATCCAGGAAGGGAGCACGAAGATTTTCTCAACCGTACTGCCGGCATCGGCTCTGCCCAGTACTGACGACGGAGGTCCAAAAAAAGATAAGGTTGCAAGTTATGGAGAGCAAAGAATATACACGACACTCCAAACTTTGCTTCAATTGAGGGAACCCAGTAGGTGGCATAATCGAAGATGATGCAATTAGAGGATGAGATTTGCTTGTTTTGTACGAGATATGAGTGCTTTTGGCCCAAGCTGTCGAAAGCTTTTTTGAGATATGGGCGGAGATGATCGGAAGGGAGATCTATGGTGGCCTCGGCGTTCTTGATTCAATTTCAAGGTTATCTTGAGTCTCAATGTCATTAAGTTTATACTTAAGCTGACTTTCTCGACAATATGAATATGGTGATACTAAACTTGGTTCAATTTGAGTACAATTAAATCATTAAAGAATTTGAGGATGTTTTGGATCATCAATTTAATGATCAACAGAATTTTAAATTTGACATATTTATAATCAAATCGAACGTCTCATCTAGAGGAATTCAATAGTTCTAACCTCATATTTTTATTTTTATTTTATTTTCGACGTGCTTTGATTAATCGAATCAGATCTATTTTTTCACCTGTAATTAAAATGAGATGTATTTTGAAAAATTGATATAGGGTTTATTTGAAGGCTTTAAACTCACCCCACTTAAAATTTTATTTGAACCTCACTAGTTTTATTTAAATTCTATGTTCTAATTGGACCTACACTCAAATTAAAATATTCGATAAGATCAAAAAAAAAAAAAAAACTTACATAAGAGTATAAACTACATATAGTATTTTTTGCAAATTTTTTTTTACTCATCTAAATCACCAAATAATTTGTACCACCAATTTACTTAGATTAATTCTTGCATTTCTCTTCTAGTTTCATTTAGTATATAATCTAATGTTTGTCCTCATTAATGCTTTATTTATTTAAACCACAGAGGATTGCAATGTTTGTTTTATTTAACATTGTATTTTTATAGATGGAGGCTCAAAATCAACCTTCTTACCATGGGTCAATATTTTTCCTTTAATATAACGACATTTGAGCACAGTGGCCCTTCGGCTAAACCCACATAACCTTTTTTTTTAATTTCCTCATATCAAGTGATAATATAATGTCAGCATTTATTAAATTTAGGAGTGATGTTCACATAACTTGTCATCAAAAAAATTGTTGAGAAGGTTATTTTATTTAGATCATAAACCTCCAAAGTTATCAATCTATTCAACTGGGCTATGCCCCCGTGGCCTTTACTCATTTAAGTTTTCAACATATAAACTTTTGTCGTTCCATCTATTAACTATTTCTTTTCTCTGTATGCAAGTTAGGTTTTCATGCAAAACTATGACGTTAGTATATCACTCTACTATAGTGAATTTACTGACACACAACATTGGCGTCGTCTATGGAAAATAACTCCCGCCCTTGTAAAATCTGTGAAAATCAAAATAGCTAACAAAGTAATAATGATAATAACGGAGCTTCTCACTCTAATTGTCATCATTCTGATGGACAACCTAAAATCCAGGCACATTCTTGATAAGCACTATCTAGCCAGTGAAGGTTCCTTTGGTCTATCTTTAGAGAAATTGGTGTGTAGGATTACAAGAAAGAAATCTATTAGCTATTTTGTAAGGTTTAAAAACTTGTACTGGCATAACTAGTTGGGGTTGACATGCCTCAAGCTCAATCATCAATGGAGAACATCTTGTTTGAGAATTTCTATATGGTGCCCTCACCCCATAATGACGAAAATTCTCTTAATTAGGCCACGATTCCGACCTCTTTATGTTCTTAGTCAACTCCATCTAGCTTGATAGGAACTCTTTGATGCTAAGATGAAAATGGTTTATTGAGGATGGAAAACTAAAATTTTTATCCTTTTAAACTTTTCATAGAAAAATTTTTGTTGTTCCACCTATGAACTTTTATTTTATCAATATATGTGTTAGATCTTCATACACTATGCCCCCGATTAAAAATAGTTCCTTTTTATAATACAGTCTATCATCATTATTTTCGATAAAAAAAATGTTATTTGTGCCACAGTCAAATAACCTTTCAAATACTCAAATTATGCTAAAGGTCATGCTACAATGTTACAATAATGTAAACTAGTGTATAATGAAATAAGTACAATGACATTTTGTACAATGTTCTAAGCCAATAAACCTTCATGAACCACACACGTGTTGTGTTCTATTGAGCCACTCACATAGAGGTCATGTAGTTCCCTATCGCCGAACACATCCACGCACTCCTTCGCCCTTGAGCTCAATACATCTCCTTCGTCATCTACCATCGTAAACTTCAAACTCTTCACAATATCATCACCCGTGAATGATCCATCATCCTCCTTCCTAGGCACCTCGACGCCGAATCCCTTCTCCACCATAAATCTGGCATTGAGAGTCTGGTCGTAAATCATCGATGGCAACATCACCATCACCAGCCCAAAAGCCAAGCCCTCCACAATTGAGCTCCACCAGGCATGCATCAGAAAGAACCCGACCGACGGGTGAGCCAATATCTGAACATGAGGAACCCAGTCCAAGCAAACCAGCCCTCTTCCATGGTGTTTTATTCTCTCCACAAGCCCAACGGGCACCAACTTTGACCTCAGCGCCCAAATGAAAGGTAGCTCGCTCAATTGCAGGCCGATTGCGATCTCATTCACCTATGCAAGACAAAGCTTTACTTCACTTCCGAAGGCAACATAAACAACAAATCCTTGCTTTTACTTGTCCAGCCGTTGAAGTGCTTCATGGCATCCCTTTTCAATTGACGGAGGAAGGAGTCCGACAGGAACTACTGGCTTTTCAAAGATCTGGCCGAGAAGTTGTAGCCATTCGGCTGCAATTCGTTACAGTTGCGGATGAGCACAGATTGACATCCTTGTACAGATTTCCCAACCCGGTAAGGTTCAGATAAACCATAAACATTTGGAATAAATCCTTTGAAAAACTCAAGAGCCCCAAAAGCATGGAAAACGATGGTGGAATGGAATGGAATCCACGAAGGGAGCACGATTAAGACCTCTGCCTTAGTGCGGGCACCAGCGCCGCCCATTAATGACGATGACTTGCTGAAAAAACATAAGGATGAAGCGCTAAAAATAGAGAATAGCATGCATGGGACTCTAAAATTTGCTGCAATTGGGGGAACCCAGTAGGCGGCATAATCGAAGACGATGCAATCTAGGGCTGAGAGTTGCTAGTTTTGTATGAGATCTGAGAGCTTTTGGTCAAAACTGTCGAAAGCTTTGCTCAGATATGGACGAAGATCATCGGAAGGGAGATCTATTGTTGCCTCGGCGTTCTATGGTAGGTGGTTGATTTGAGGGAAGGGGAGCTCTATGAAATTGATGAGGTGGGAGATTGGTGGGGAGATTTTTGGGAGCCTTGCTACGTTTCTTGGGGTGGTGAGGAACGTGATGCGGTGTCCTTTTAGGATGGGAGAAGGATTTGGAGAGCTCTAGAAAGGGGAGAAGATGGCTGAAGGCTAGTCATGGCAGCATCAGGACGTGAAGACTCCCGCTTTCCATTGCGAAAGGGAGTAGATGAGGCGCTCCTTTGTAGGTTTTTTGGTACCTTTATAAGCAGTTGACGAATGAAGGGAAAAATCGATCATTGGTGGACCATGCAACGAATAGAATTGGCATCTTCTCTTAAAATGTAATAAATTTAGCAAGAAATAGAAAAAAAAAATATTAATGTTATTTATAAATCAATCTTTTTGGGGTTTCGGATAATTCGTCAAAGTAGTTATTCTTGATCTTAAATTTATATTATAGGCATTGTTGAATGCAAATTTGTTATGTAGACTCTTAAGAACTGATGGAGATGAAAAAGACCAGAGAGGGAGAATGTTTCGCTTAGCAATTACTCCCATTGGGATAAAATGGGGGTGTTCCCTTCATACTCATTTTATATATTAAAAGATGTTATTACAAGAGAAGGAGAGAATGGGGCTAAACACATGAGCGCCCTTGTGGCTCGGCAAGGATGTTTTTGCTGCCCTACTTAGGGCATGAGAAACTCTTAAGTATGTGATGAAGAGGAAGCAGGCCAAATAGAATCGCCTCTCTGATTGCATAGGCACAACGCCCTCAAAGCACACTGATGGGGCGCTCTCACAAGCAAAGTACAAGATTAGGTTGGTGAGACTTATTTTCTGCATTAAATTCTATTTTAAATTAAATGCAAACTAATTGTTTCATTACACCAATGGACTTTAGTTAAAGAATGGGAGCAATCCTCTATAGAGTTGCACGAGCACACTCATAGGCAACAGTCGGATCAGTCCTAGGTGGATAGCAAATCCCAGACGACCTAGGTAATTCACCAAATTAATTAGTATAAAATTCAAATAACTATTGAAGTTTATCTTATCTCTAACTTTCATTAATCATATTTTTTTTTGTAGGAGTTCTTCTAGAGGCTTAAGGATAGTCGTTCCCAGCAACCGGGTAGTGTTTTGGTCACAGTTCACGATCCTTCTGTATACAACCTTTGAAAGGGGGGCTATCAAGGACAAGAAGAAGAGCAGGTTCTAAGTTTTGGGAACCCAGGTGCCGACATTTGATGACTTTGTGGTCTCTAACACATCTGTTGCATCTACTTCCATTGTACATATGGAGGAGATTCGTCGTCAGGTAGTTGCTGCGTTTGATGCCTAAGTTGCTATTGTGATTGATGCCCAGGTCGCCACCAGCCTAGATGGAGCATAATATCAAAGTAGTGCTACATTCCCAACACAGAAAGAGAAGCTGCTAGTTCAGAAGGATGAGGATGAGGATGAGGAGACTGATGAGGAGGATAAGTACGGATCATTTTTTTATATTTTTTTTATGTTAAAAAAATTATTGGTCGTGTCCAATTTTATGGGACAGTTGCTCATTTCATTTGATTTAATGCAATCTTTTTTCCTTAATTTCTTTATACGACTGATATGTCAATTACCTTTATTGCTATGTTGCGTTGTTTGTAGATTCTACTGTTACGATTGCAGGGCTGTTGCTATGTTGTGCTGTTTGTAGATTCTACTGTTACGATTGCAGGGCTGTGAATTGTAGTCTCAAAAGAGGGTTCTTTTTTTTTCTGATGCTATAGGATTTTGATGACTTTCAGACTATGTATCAAACAAATAAAGATAATACAAGTGCTGTACTTTTGCGACAAAAACGTCTGTTAGTAATTTCTCGTGGTTTACCTACGACAGTACGACATTACTAATGAAGGCGCGACACTTTTCCGATGAAATTGAAACACTTTTTCGCGTCTATGTGCATCATTTATAATACCAACGGGCAAGCTACAATTAAATATATAATGGTTATGTAGCAATACTGACCAATACAATACGTCAGATAATTATCGTTATATCTAAACGTTTTTGTTATGTCGAGTAAATCATATCTAAACCATTAGTAAATATATTATCTACGGTTTAATTTATTATCAATGATATTTGACCATCAGTAATAAGCTAAAATTTTGTAGTGATACATGAAAAACGCCAAATACACGAAAACTTGCCAGGTATATGAAAATGTGTCAATATCTCAAAAGATGGAAATGAAAACAATAGTAAATTATAATTCTCAGTGGTGATATTAAATGATAAATCCCATGAGCAATAAGAACTCGTAACTCAGAAGGCAAAAATGTAATTTTTAGATACCTCCTATTATCTATAAATATGAGGATTTTTTTCATATAAAGAAGAGATAAATTATTTGGGCTTTTCAGCCATTTAGGCATCACTTTCTTTTTCTCTTGTAACAGCTGCTTCTTTCAATATATAAAATGAATCTGAGGGAAACACCCTCATTTTGCCCCTCTATAGGCAATTGATGCGCCAATCCTTCTCTCTCTCTCTCTCCTCTCTCTCTCGCTCTCTCTCTCTCTCTCTCTCACTCTTTTCTTTTCACCCGGTTCCTATGTTCTATGTCTTGGGCAGGGTCTACAGAACATTTTTGGATTCAACAGGTAAAAAATTATTTTTATATTAGATATGTTTAATGTGAGATTGAAATATGAAAATTGTAATCATTATATGAAAACTATAATCATATTGTAATCATTATTTTTATTTATTCCATTTTTTTATGTGAATTGATTAACCGAATTGGAGTCATTTTTTTTAAAAAATTAAAATAATATGCAATACATTCACTATCTAATACCTTTTATATATTGACAAAAATTGATGTGGGATTTCTTTGAAGTCTTTAAACTCAGGCCATGTAAAATTTCGTCTGTATCTGACTAGTCTTAATTGGATTCCATGTTCGGGCTGAACCAACACTCGCATTAAATTATTCAATAAGATTCAAGAAAAATAAAACACTTACATAAGAGCATAATCTACATAGATTTTTCTTTTCAACTTTTTCTTTTCTTTTTGCATTTTTTATCTTAATAATCAAAATTGCCTGGTAATTTGTATAAACTACCAAGATATTAAAATTCATTATTACATTTCCCTAAAAAGTGAAATTAATATAAATGTGGACATTTACGTAGAATTAAGAGCCGAACAGGCTAGCCCATGTTCGGCTCGTTTGCTTAGCGACCCGAACACGAGCCGTTCACGAACAAATAGTCATTTTGATAACCCTAGCCAGATAGCCATAAAAGGTTAAGTATTGGGGAAATATTTAAGGAAATATATAAAAATTATTATTTATATTAAAACATCATTTAAATCTAATTTAATAATTTTTATTCTATTTTCTTAATTAATACTTATAATTGATTATAAATTTTTGTAGCCTTGTAGTCAATTAAGTTTTTTAAAAATACTACTCATCAAATATATATATATATATATATATATATATATCTTGGATGAGTATATACTTCTAAAATACATTTTTTCCTCAAACTTGACTTAACTTACTCCGGATCAATTTGAGTTAATGAAGTTGTTATTTTAAGAAAGCTTAAATGTTAGAGCAAGTTAAACTACTTATGTCATAATATATAAAGAAGAAGTTTTCGTATTTGTAACGTTCATATTCAATGTATTTGTAACGTTCATATACATATAAGTTGTAAGAATTTTCGTATTTGTAACGTTCATATACATATAAGTTGTAAGAGAAAATATTTAGAGAAACAGACTGATAAATTATTCTTTCTTTAAATGTAATTTTTTGTGGTAATACAACCTTCATTACTCGTTTAATTTAAAAGGCTAAATCTATCTAGTATAGTTTCTAAACCATTATGTGTAACGAATCATGGTACATAATGGTCACTCTCAATGCTAAATCTCCTATTAAACTTCAAGATATCTCAGGCTATTGTGACACTAAATGTTGACTGAATTTTCCAATTTAATATGAATTTAATGGCTGAGTGGGAGACATCTGTTGTATTATAGGTTATAAATATTTATTTGTATTGATCATGTAGTCATAAAAAAATGTAACATAAGTAGCATAAGATCTCAAAGATAGCATAAGAACGCCGCCCACCATACACACACCTA